GTGAAACAAACATGACTCATATAAAATGTAGAAAACGGCAACGTAATCCACTAATGTGGAAACAGAATATCAACAAAATATTGCGAAATACTGGAAAATCCTACACTTCCTTGTCAAGATCTAAAAAAGAAGTTCCTTCCCGTTGTATGAAAACCCCGTGTAAGCCTTGTCGATTAAAATGCTCCGACCAAATAGATGAAGTCCAAAGGGCTAACATTTTTGAAATGTATTGGAACCTTTCTAATGTGAACCTTAAAAGATCATTTATTAAATCTTGCATGATGGAAGTGAGGCCAAAATATAAATATACGAACGCTCAAAAACCTAGATCACCTAATATTGCATTTTTTTTCACAGTAATCAATCAAAAAATTCGAGTTTGTAAAATATATTTCATGAATACTCTAGATATTACAGAAAGACAGATTAGAACCGTCAAAGCAAAGAGTAATGATGTCGGATTTATAGCTGAGGATCAAAGAGGTAAGCACACTAATAGAAAAAAAAAATAGACGAAACCATTATTAAGGACATTGAGAGTCACATAAGTACAACCCCTAGGATGGAGTCACATTACCTCAGGGCATCCACATCGAAAGAGTTTATTGACGGCAGTAAAACGGTTAAAGATCTCTGGAGAGACTTCTGTGAAAACAGAGATCCAATGAAACCTAAAGTAGAGTACTGACTATATTATCAAGTATTTAATAACAATTTTAATATCGGATTCTTTCAGCCAAAAAAAGATCGTTGTGATCTTTGTTTACAATATGAGATGGCATCTGTAGACCAAAAGGCAAACTTGCAAGAGAAGTTTGACAACCATATAAAAGAAAAAGATCTTTGCCGTATTGAAAAAAAAAAGATCGTAGGATGCTTGGTGATGGATATAATATTTGCACCGTCTATGATTTACAGGCTATCATGCAATGTCCTGTGGGAGAATGCAGTTCTTTTTATTATATATCTAAACTAAACTGCTTGAATTTCACCATGGCTGAATTGGCTGCTATTAAACACCATAATATAAATACAACTGCAAAGAACCCAAGAGTGAGTAAAATAACTGAAAGCGAAAAACTTGGCGCTTATGGGGATGTCTATAATTTTTTTTGGGATGAAACACAGGGTAAAAGGGGAGCAAATGAAATAGGATCTTGCATACTTGAGTATTTGAAAACGGTCAGTGAAAAATCTCCTGATAAACAATTAAACATAATTTTTTACTCCGATAATTGCTGCGGACAAAATAAAAGCAAGTTTATTGCTTGTCTGTACTCGTATGCTGTGTCTCAATTTCCAAATATTACAAGTATCACTCACAAGTATTTAATACGAGGACACACCCAGAATGAAGGTGATAATGTTCACAGTTTAATTGAAAAAGAGATAAAAAGAAATCTAAAATCTGGTCCTATATATACATCCCATCAATATGTAACGTTGATAAAAAATGCCAAAAAATCTGGCAATCCTTTCAAAGTATTGGAGTTAAATTATGACTTTTTTATTGATTTGAAATCCTTACACGATCAGTGGGGCTATAATTTCAACGAAGATGATGAACGTAACACAGTATCCTGGAACGATATAAAAGTATTAAGTTTCTTAAAAAACAAACCCTTCGAGTTTTCTACAAAACCTCATATGCCCAAGAAGATTTCATTCGTGTAAATATGAGAAACAAAAAAAAAAAAAGCCAAGCTTGGAAGAGATCTCAATTTTTAAAGTGTTTATGAATAAAATAAAATTAAATGAAAATAAAAAGAAAGGTTTAAGTGAATTAATCAGAAAGAATCTAGTACCTGGTTTCTATATAGATTATTATAAACCGTTATTAGAAGACTGATTAGCTTAACTGATTTTTTTGGATTAATTTTAAGTGATAATTATTATTGGAGTTCCTATTACGTTACTTTGTAGTAATAAATTACCCAAAGACACATTTTAGATGAAGAATATATTATTTAGCTTTACTTTTAAGGTTGATTGTTGTTTTTATGTGACTCAGACATGACAATTAGTGTCAAATGATACTATGTGATATTTAGTTAGTATCCAGTTTAGTAATAATAGTTCCTAATGAAAATCCTAAAAAAAAAAAATATTTGTTCATTTTTAATTTTTGTTCTATGATAACTTGACAGGTTAACTGAGGTTTTACCCTCCATACGAACAGTTATGCTGTTAAATGATCTCTATAAATATTACTTATTCATTATTTTTGTTAATATATTATAATTCTATTAAACCGTTGTTTTTTTAATTACTATTATGACATATTTGAATTTGGGTTTGCAATTATACGAAGAAAAAAGACTTAAAAATGAAAACGGCAAAAAATAACTACATTAGATAAATACGAAAAAGACTTAATTCTTAAACGGTCAAATTTCAGATGTGTTTTTTTAGTAAAAAGAGGACATATTTCCTATTTGGTCAAAGTTTTGGATATTTATTGGGTATTAAAACGACTCGCATATTAAAATATTTGTTTTTAATTTATAGTATTCGTTCCTTTTATACTTTTTTTAAAGGGTTCATAGCTGTATGTATCCTCTCTGATTTTCCGCAATAACTTTGCTATTAACTCAAAAAGTTACGAAATAATATAAAAATTAATAAGGAGGTGTCCCAATTTACATTCGTTTTTTTCGATTTCCCACAAATTTACTTTTTTGAGTTCGGTCGGTTTCATCCTAAAGGTGCGAAATAGGTGGACTGTTATAGGCTGATTGATAAAAAGATGTACATTTACACAATGACATTTAATTGAAGTTAGTTTTAATAAAAGTTTATCAGTTTTTAGAGTATTATATTAATACACAAAACAATGAATGTTGTGTTTTTGTGTTCAATGTTTTTACCGTTTTGCACATTTTAAACTTTTTTTAATTTTTCTACTTTTATGAACATATGGGGTTTGGTTTACTTATTTTTATTCTTATTAATATAAAATATAGGTACCTAATAGTACAGAAAGAAACATTAACCTTTACATTTTCCGAACAAATTAACTTCACTGCTATGAAATCTGTCAAATATTATATATACACCTCAATTTTAAGTGGCGCCGCCCTGGTGACAGAAAAAGTTGTGGATGCTCTCATTACATCATTTTTTTTCTTTTCGTATGGAAGTAACTATTATATATTAAATATTCAGCAGTATTCAGTAGGAGAGCTATCATATATACAAGTCTAATGACTGTCACACGCTGCAACAACTAACCATCGACTCGACATACAGGCTACTGTTATAAAGATATAAAGTAAATGACCCGCCTTACAGTATTCTGATGCCTTGGCGACACACATCGCGATAAAACTTCGCCTTCAGCCTACCGCGAAGGTGTCTGGCCACACCGCGCGTTGTAAACTTTATCGCGCTAAGCACACGCTAAATACAAAATGGATGCCACGGTTGCTCTGTATTATATGGCAGCAAATAATTATTTTTATTATTGTCAGTTTTTTAAAAAATAAGAAAAAATATATAAATATTATAGGATTGGACTCGTAATTACTGATAAATTCAATTTTTTTATCATTACTCCGATCTATGTCAGAAATACGTTGCAAACACATCCGCTACGCATGATGTCATGAAGTGTGGCCGCACAAGCGAATTCCATCGCGATAAAACCCTTTGAAGTGCGATAATTTACCGACAGCGATGTGATGTGCTTGCGACTTCGCACGAATTGATGAAGTATTCACAAAGGGACGGCCACATACATTGCGATAACGCGAATATTCGCGCTATCGCGATGTGTGTGGCCGCGGTATAAGATACATTGTGCGACGGTCCATACTACGCATTTATTATTGCAGTCAACCATAACATACAAATTATTAGAAAAATAACTATTATCTGCTTACATTTCATGTTTTATATTTTTTATACTTTGATTTTATCTATGAATGGAATTCTAGAACACATCGCACTTACATAAAGTTATATTTAATCCTTAGCCAAGTTTCAAAATTAAATCTACAGCTCAGTAAATTAACATTCTTACAAATACTTCAATAAATTTGATACTTATAACTTGAGCAAATTTTCACATAAATGTTTAAGATATGATTTAATAAATATTTATTACGTAAAAATTTAATTTATGAACGTATCATGCTAAAATCATTTTATATTAAGAATATAATTGAAAATAAAGAAGTGTGAACTTCAACATTTGGTTCAAATCCGCACAATTCATACATGATTTAACTATTCAATAATAGTTTCAGTCTAATCAACACTAATCAATACATATTGCCGTTTAAAAATCGAAAATATACAAGTAAAACGCATAAGGATGCTTCTAAAATGGCCATATTTTTGCAGCTATAGTGATTGAAATCCATTTACATTGTATTCCGAAATACAGAAACCAAAAATTCCAAGTCGAAAGGTGAAGTGTTACTCTAAATTACTTTTACACACTTTTATATTTTTTTAAATAAAGGTTTATCTTATTATTTATTACAAATGTCTATCAAGTGTCATTCCTTGATTTAGCATAGTTTTACGCTTATTAAATGAAGGTCGTATTCACATATGTCTTTTTTTTTCAATGGTCTAAAGTAGTCAAAACTAGCCAGTGTTGCCCTGATTTTATATCCGTATCACAGTTTCTAGCCCTATATCATATTTCTGTGAAAATCGGGCCAAAGCAATCAATAATGCAATCACATATTTTGTCACTGAAAATATGTTTAGTTTAGAAGCACCTCAATAATCAATATTTTACATTTTGTACTCTTGATTATTTCATAATTAAATTTAAGTCAATTTCACTTTATTATTATTACAGCCCTTCACAAGTCCACTGCTGAACACAGACCTCCCCCAAGGAATGCCGCAAAGCACGGTCCTGAGCCACCTGCATCCATCGACTTCTTGCATGTCTTACCAGGTCGTCACTCCATCTAATGGGGGGACGCCCTACACTTCACTGCAATTTCACTTATCTATAAATAATTATATTAAATTTATTATGTTTAATTAGTCCTACATGGTAATTTATTTGAGCGTGGACTGTCTAAATCTATAGAGCTTGTGGAAGTGCTAACACTTTCATCGACATCCGGTGTGTACATTGCTAAATTTCTTCTTTTAAATATTTTTTTACTTGATGGTGGAGTACTCATGTTTTCAGGTGTATTGTTTAAAGTATCACACAGAACTGGAGTATTTGGTGAACAGACAGAATCTGAATTGGAAAAGTCTTTATTCACAACAGGTGTAACCGGCGCCGGTAGAGAGAGTTTAGTACATTTAAAAGGTGTACTTATTGGACTGCTATCAATGCTTATGTTGGAATCATTAACAAATGGTTGTTTCATAGTCCTTCCTGCTCTAGCCATTATCACTTGCAATGGATCATCTATACCTAGTTTTTCACAGAGAGAAACAGTTTGAGGGTTCATTATAGGTTCTAATGATACACTTCTTGGTGCCCCTGGCTTATATACAGGAGCTGTCCTGACAAATGAGTCATTTGTTATTGTCAATGTCTCCATTAAATGCACAATGTTTAACTTTTCTTCTTCAGTAGGACTAAATAAATACCTGAAAAGAATAACAACAAATTAATATTAAGCTGTACAAAATGAGAGGGAAACTGAAACAGTAGATGACAAATAAAATCAAAATAATAAAAAAAACTGCGGTTGCCGAGCCAGTTGCCATACGTGGTAACTATAGCAAAAGCCCGTATGAGGCAATCTATGGCGGAGGCTTAAGCTCAGAAGTGAACTTTTATAGGCTGCTATGGATGGATGGATGTTTATGAGTGAGTCTTGCGACATACTTCATATAAAGGTTGCAGTATACAAGAGCTCGACATACATTTCACAGTACATGAGCGACCTGGGGTAGATCCCCACAGACACCTATAAATTTGTTAAGTGCATTTCAGTGCTAATTTACCACGTGCTCGGCGGTGAAGAGTAACATCGTGAGGAAGCCTGCAATCTGGAGAATAAAATATTTCGAAGCCATGAAGTCTCCTCAAAGACTAGTTGCTCTATAACTGTCCCAGCAATGAAGAGGCCTGTGTGTGGCCTGTTCTCAGGAGTTACAACGCATCTGACTTTGATTCATAATCAAGGACAAATGTAGATGTCCACGAATGTATGGTGAACGACAATAACGAAAAAATTAGTGCGAAAATATCGACTGTACGGTCGTGCATCCGCCTGCTTAGCGTCACATGAACAAAAATTTAAAGAATGCATTCACTGGTACCCTGCGCATTTCTAGAAATACTTATGTTCAGCAGTGGACTATAAAATTAAATGTATTCACTTCAAGGTATACGAGGGGGGCAGTGAAAATTTCGGGAATCAAGGAAGTGACACAACATTACTATTTAAAAATGTATTTATTGCTTTTCGAAGTATTCTTCGCGAAATTTGACACATTTTTCCATACGATGGAACCAATCATTGAAGCAACCATTCTATTCGGAAGTTGGGGTCTCCAAAATGGCCGTTTTGTAGGCGTCCACAGCTTTTTCAGGTGATGAAAATCTCTGTCCACGCAACTTATTCTTTATTTTAGGGAAAGTATAGAAATCATTAGGGTTTAGGTCGGGGCTGTACGGCGGATGGTCTAATAATTCTATGTTTTCTTGCTCTAAAAACTCTTTTGTTCTGTGTGCGGTGTGAAAACTCGCATTGTCGTGATGGAAGATGATGCGGCGGTTGCAGTTCTCTTTACGGAGTTCAGAAACGACCTGTGGCAAACAAATGCTAGCATACCATTCTGCATTGTTGATGAGAAAAATGCAAACTGTATACAACATCATTGAAGATGTTGTATACAGCATTTGAGGATCCCGCGTGGAATCTTTCGAGAGTTCTGCCGCACCAAGTAACGCGAGCCGCTTTTTGCTCTTCACAGAGCGAATGATGCGGTATCCATCGGGAAAACAACTTTTTTACACCTAATTGTTCATGCAAGATTATTTGTATTTGACTCATGCCAATGTCTAAAGTTGCTTGAATTTCGCGGTATGTCACATGTCGATCTTCCTCAATCAGCTTACGCACATCATCAACGTTTTCTTGGGTGACTGCAGTTTTTGGACGACCTTGACGGGGATCATCACTGAGCTTGACACGTCCACGTTGAAATTCAGCAAACCAGCGATAAATTGTGGTTTTGGATGGGGCTTCATCACCAAATGCAGAAATCATCCGGTCAACACACTGTTTTTGTGTTAAACCACTTCGAAAGTCATAATAAATCATCGCTCTTGAATTTTCTCGAGTCAATTCCATTTTCTCAACGACTAAACAAGTTTGACAAAACCTTGTGACAAGACCGAGAATCTTTTCTTAAATAAATAAATGGTATTCGATTTTTAAAACCAAGGAGTTTTCAATTAAAAAGATTTTAATATGACAGGAACAGTGGAAATATTCCATTCCCGATACTTTTAGTGCAGCCTATGTAAGAAAATAAAATTTTGTTTGTCAAATAACATTTTTTTAATCAAATCTATGACTGGTTCGGAATAAGATTTTCCATTTCTCTGACTGACGAAAAAGAATAGAAAAAAACATGCGTGAGTGTCGTGGAACACTCGGTAGGAACGAAATTTTTTTTTTAATAGGAGAGGGGGCAAACGAGCATGCGTCTCACCTGATGGTAAGTGACTACCGCCGCCCATGAACAACTGCAACACCAGGGGAATCGCAGATGCGTTGCCGGCCTTTTAAAAAGGAGTAGGCTCTTTTCTTGAAGGTCCCTAAGACGTATCGGTCCGGAAAAATCGCTGGTGGTAATCGATTCCACAAGGAAGTTGTGCGAGGAAGAAAACTTCTTCTAAATCGCACAGTGGTAGACCGCCAATCATCCAGATGGTATGGATGGTATCGCGAGTTTTGTCGCGATGTGCGATGGTGAAATTGGGCGGCTGGAATTAGGCCGAACAATTCCTAAGAGCACTCCCCGTGATAGATGCGATAAAATACGCAAAGAGATGCAACATCTCTACGCAGTGCCAATGAGTTAAGCCGATCGGAAAGAACTCGGTCGTCGACGATTCGAATTGCTCTGCGCTGGATGCGGTCAAGTGGAAGGAGCTGGCACTGGAGAGTCCCTGCCCAGAGATGGGAACAGTATTCCATGTGAGGCCGAACCTTTGCCTTGTAAAGTTGCAAGCGGTGTGCCGGCATGAAATACTATCCCGCTCTGCTGAGCACGCCAAGCTTTTTTGAGGACAATTTGGCCTTCTCTTCCAAGTAACCACGAAACTGCACGTCATTCGATATGTCGACACCAAGGATCCCGATACTGGCTGAGGCAAGAAGGGGAGTGCCTTGAAACTGAGGAGATACGACAAAGGGGTAAACACAACAAAGGGGTAGCGGTAAACGCGCAAACTTGTGTCTTCTGGGGATTGAACTGGACTAGATTTAGTCGACCCCATTCTGAGGCTTTGTTCAACAAAGTCTCGACTTCAGACACAAGTTTGTTCCGGTACTCGACGACGTTTTCCCGAGTAATATTGGCACGGCCGGTATATAAAGCATCACCAGTGCTGCCGTCCGCATAGCAATGAATGTTACTGGTTTGCAACATATCATTGATATGCAGAAGAAACAGCTTTGGTGATAGCACGCAGCCTTGTGAAACACCAGCGTTAACGGACTTGTAATTGGAGCATGCACCGTCTACTACGACCTTGATGCTCCGATCTGCAAGAAAACTGGTGATCCAATTGCACAATTTCTTGGGAAGCCCATAGGAAGGGAGCTTCGAAAGAAGCGCTTTGTGCCAAACCCGATCGAAGACCTTCGCTATGTCCAAACTAATGGCCAACGCCTCCCCCTTGGACTCCACTGCCTCCGCCCATCTATGAGTTAGATAACATAAAAGATCACCAGCTTAGCGACCTCGACAGAAACCGTACTGGTGGTCACTAATCAGCTGGTGATCATCAAGGTACCGCATGAGCTGGCAGTTAATAATGGTTTCCATTACTTTGGAGAATAAGGAGGTGATAGCGATAGGCCTGTAGTTGGACGGATCTGAGCGGTCGCCTTTTTTAGCGATCGGGTGCACCAAAGCTGTCTTCCATGAATTCGGGACTACGCCAATGGTGTAGGAGTAGCGTAAAAGACGCGTTAAAACCGGTACCAACTCCGGAGCACACGTCTTCAGCACAATAGGTGGGACTCCATCAGGCCCACTCGACTTGTTGACGTCCAGGGAGAGGAGTGCTTTACGGATCGAGCGCTGTGTAAACAGCACTTCCTGCATGGAGCACTCACACCGCGGGATGGTCGGCGGTGTGTTCCCCCCGTCATCTAGAGTCGAGTTGGAAGCAAAAAGAGAACCTAGTAGATCGGCTTTCTCTTTTGCGTCATGGGCCAGTGAGTCGTCCGCCCTGTGCAGAGATGGCAGAGATGGCTGACAGAAGTTCCCTTGGACAGCCTTGGCGAGAGACCAGAATGCACGTGTTCCCGAAGGAAGGAATTCTGCCGACGTGCTCTGTCTTTGCCTTGGTAATGACACTTTTGAAGGACCTGGAGGCGGAATTATACTTCTTTTTAAGAGCGCTGGTATTTACATCCCGGGACGATGATGCGTCGGCCCAGGTTCGGTAGCACTCCTGCTTATAGCGTGATGCAATTTTGCAGGAGTGACCAAACCATGGCTGATTTCTGCCTCTGATAGCCACCACAGATGATGGAATAAATAATTCCATTCCCTGAAGTACCACATCAGCGACAGAATCAGCAACAACGTTGGGATCATCCGGGTAGGATGCAAAAAATGACCGCATTCCGTCCCAATGGGCCGACCTATAGTGCCAAACACGGCGGCAAGCTGCAGATCGCAATTGCGATGGGAGCGTGAGTGGCACCGTACTCCGGATCAAACAATGGTCCGAAGAGCCCAGAGGGGCATCGACGGAGACCTGATATCCGTCCGGATGAGAGGTCAGCAGAAGGTCCAACAGTGAAGGTACATGATCCTCCACATCTGGGATCCGCGTAGGCGAAGTAACCAGTTGTGTCAGACCATATGCCAAGGCAAAGTCATAAACAGATCTCCCTGCATGATCGGTTAAGCGTGAATCGAGCCATTCGGCGTGGTGGGCGTTAAAATCGCCAAGGATCACGATCTCTGCGGATGGGATCTGTTGTAGCACGGAGTCTGCAGCCATTTGGACGTGGTCGATGAGTCGGTCTGTGTCGGAATTACCGCTATGGGACCTATAGAGGCACCCGTACACGCAGGGATGTACGGGTTGTCTACGCGTAGCCATAGGATGGACAGGTTCTTACCTTCAAGACTGCCGAGGCGTCGAAAACAGATGTCCTCTCTGACGTACACGCAAACTCCAGCCCGGGCACAAACGAGTGTTCTAATCTGTACCTCGGGTAGGAGAGATACGAAGTATCAGCCGGAGAGGACACCTGTGTCTCGGTAAGAAAGAGCAAGTCCGGCTTAGCTATCTGCAGATGGTAGTGGACGGTGTTAAGATTTGAATGAAGTCCCCTGACGTTGCAGAAATCCACGGATAGTGTAGCAGGGGTTGCCTTTGTCTTCTTGCTCCGCTTGCCCCGAGCAGGTTTCGTCTTGAGCGGAATTTCGCCCCCCCCCCCTCCCCAGGATACGCAGGGCAGCCTGAGCACCCACGCCCAGGAGTGGAGTAGTTTGGTCGTGGATGCTCAGCGAGGGATTCTCCAGGAGTGCTGGTACCCTCCTGGGGTAGTCTTCTGTTCAATTCCGCTACCATGTTGAGAGGGGGAGGGAGGATTGGGACTCCGGCCACCTGCACTCACCAAGCGGAACGCAGAGGTAAACCTCTACTTCACGCTGGTATTCTGTGAGGTCGTGGTACCACCCCGGTTCGAGCCGGCCCTTCCGTGCGACAGCAAAAGCTGCCGCGTGGCTCTACCACTGTAGAAAAGTTCCTTTCATAGTATATTATTATTAATGATAAACGTATTATATTATTGATTAATAAATACAAATAAATGAATTACTAGCGTAATTGGATATTATTCCATCTCGCTTCCTTATAGACGCCAAAGCCGTTTACACTACGTCAGAAGGGGTTATGATGGAAAAATCTTACACTTGTTCTCGCCTAGCCCCCATCCGCCAAATTTGTACCGTCTCATAAGGAACTTCGTTCCAAAAAGTAAGTGGTGATGCAGGCTTAGATGGTAAATCGCACTGTCTTAGCGTAACAAAAGCCTATTCACTCTTGCCTTGAAGACGCCCAGATTGTATTCCGACGGAAAGATAGACGCCGGGAAATTATTCCACTCCTTTGCTGTACGCATTACAAAAGATGAAGCAAACCATTTGGTTCTAATGTGTGGAATATCGACAACAAAGGGGTGAAGACCCGCTGACCGCTTGGTCTTCCGATGGTGGAAAAGAGAGGAAGGAATAAAAGCGTGTAATTCCTGTGCACCCTACCGTGATGAGTTCTATAGAATACTGCGAGACTGGCTACTCTGCGCCTTTGTTTGAAGCTGACAAGATTGGTTTCACCAATGAGCCTCTTAGCACGTCTCTCCACTGAGTCCAACGCTGCCAGGTGGCATTTTGCAGCACCAGCGCTTTATATACGATAAGAAGCTGCCCCGGCGGGAAGTACCGCCGCACCCTTGCAAGGACACCAAGTTTCCTTGCAGCTGACTCAATGAACCGCCCATAGTTGAGGCTCGGAGAATATTCAACCCCTAACAACTGAAGGCGGTCAGTGTACTCCAAGGATATATTCCGGAAAGTAGGAGCCAGGGTGAGCGGGCTTCTTTTAGCGGTGGAAAGACACGCTCGTGTTTTGGAGGCGTTGAATCTCATGAGTTTGGCATCGCCCCATTCGGAAACTGCCTGTAGTAACATGCTTAACCATAGCCTCTCATTCGGATTGGATTTGATCCCGACTGGCCCAGGCTCTTGGTTGGTATCTCTCCACAACTGTGCTGTCGTCTGCATACCCATAGATACCGGGAATGAAGATGGAATGCCTCATTTCCAGTACAAAGGGACTCCGGTTCTCTACACTCACCATACTAAACAAAGCAGCATTGAGGTGCTATTTTGCGCTGGTATTCTGTGACAGTGTGGTCCTTCCCCAGTCAAGCTAACCCATTCTACAACCATAATATAGCTGCAGGATGGCTCTACCCCGTAAATAATATAGCTGTAGCATGGCTATATTGTATATTTTATACTTTATCCCAATTGATTTATAAAGACATTTAAAATACTACAACTTTGTCAATAGTATTACAGATGATGATGTATGTGATCTGCCTGATTGCTACCATGGTAAAACTTCCTAAATAATATATATAAAAACAATTTTACATTTTTACATATACATAAATACCTATATACCATAATTCTCAGTGCTACTGTCCGTACTTTATTGTTACGTTTATCAGATAGGCTTGGATGCGGCAAGTGACACGAGACCAATTTTAAAATGTCCAAACGAAAATATAGGCCCTTTCTGACATTATAACCCATGTCCTTTTACTTACTAATCAGGTACTCTGAGCTGTGTGGTAATTTAAAAGTACTATGAAATATGGCACATAAACGACATTAAAAATGAGTAAAGAATGAAACTCACCTCTCATTGCCACCTGGGCCAGGCATGTGACAATCAACATTTTTGACACTCAACAGGTGATTAGTATTTTTCAAAATAGCTAACCACTCTGCATCATGTTTTAATAATTTATCTCCATCGTATGTAGATGGTAAATCAAGTATTTGTAAGTGTCTGCGTTTTGGAAGGCATTTGTCTAGGGCTAGAAACTTTGTTTCAGAATTTGTTTCATCATGCTTGACGATAGCAGCAAATTGGCAATGCAAGTGAGCAGCAAACCAATAATCAGGCTTCAATAAATATAAAAGCTTTTCCGCAGGCACACTTCCCAGCTGGTTTGACTCAATATCCTCCCTAAATAACAAAAAAGAAAATATTATAACAGTCTAAATTTCGAAACTCTCTGAATATTGTCAGTAATTATTTAGCTAAATTCAAACACTACTTTACAAGATGTAATTTTATCCCTTTTTTTATAGGATAAAAGTTACAAGTGAGCACATGGTCCACCTGATGGTAAGTGGTTGCTATGGCCTATGTCTATGGACATCTACATCTATCCTCGTTTGCGAATAAAATACAGATGCATTATCAGCCGTGAAGACTAAAATGGAATGCCTCTTTTGCCGGTTCTCTACACTCACCAAACAAAACACAGCAGTGGTAAGCTGCTATCTTACGCTGGTGTTAGCAGTGTTATTCTGTGAGAGTGTGGTACTTCCCCGTTTGAGCCGACCCATTCATACTACAACTGTACTATTGATATAGCTCTAGCATAGCACTACCACATATAGAATATATTTACATATAATAATACTTAAGCAATCCTCATCACATACAGCCCCTCGCAAATCTGCTGTAGGACATAGATTTTGCATAGAAATGCCACAAAACCAGGCCGTCACTCCATCTAGTGAGCTTTCACTCTACACTGCACTTGTCTGGAAAAAGCCTGCCACTTGCAAACCTTTCTTCTCCTTTACTTCAGTTACTCTGGGTTTACTGCCCATATCGTTATTTATTTATTTAAAAGGACAACCCACAAGACAAACACTAATACATGGAATTTAAAGTAACATGAATATCAAAATAAAGCTAAGCGTCTTCTTAATTATAGGCTTATCTTTTTGGTTATGTAAGCTTAATCAATAGTTTATGCATAAAAAAAATTAAAAATCTTAGTCATGGTTACAACTTTAAATATCAACTACTAAACTATCAACTCTGTAGGTGATAATAAAGCAGCAATATAATATATACTATCCCAGGTACTACCTAGTAGTAGAATTTGGTATTCTTTCATTACGTACAAATGTTCCCTATTAGTCCGAATATTATAAGTTGATGATTATGATGATGATAATGATAAGACTTAATGTATATTAATCCTTAAAATTAAGATGAAATGGCTAATCATAAAAAACAGCAGTTACTTTGCTATTTTAACTGGCTTTTTTCTAAAAATGTTGTCCCGTCTTAGACATACCAATCCATTTTAAAGTCAAAATCAATGTCTAGTTACACTGTGGTGTTACAAACTAACCATGTTTTGATCCGTTTAAGGACTCCATTCACTAGTATCAGTACATTCAGATAAAATAATGTCACTAAATCCATCAGGTTATGTATTATTTTTCTAAATATTACACATACAGCAGCTTTATACTGGATTATATTTGATAAAAATAAAACAACTTACCTAAAAAATGGTTTCCTCTTTAACAAATTTTGTTTATCTCCATACTCAGTAATACCCCGTGGCCAATCATGTGACAGCATAACATGGACTGGTTCCTTGAGCTGACTTAGACGGAATACATCTAATGACCTTATGTGATAAACAGATCGGAGTGAATTTTGGGAATAAGGTGGGCTTTCCCAAAGCCCTTGAAGATAGTCATGTCCCTTGAAAATACCTGAAAGACCTTAAATTACAACAGATTAAAATGAGAATTAGGGTATTTTGAAACTTAACACTTTCACTGTCCGGTTTTTAGACACAATAGTAAGACAATAGCAATGACCTATATGCAGTGCACAGGACAGCGAAAAGGTTAAAAGCAGATTTTTAGTATCTTTTTGTAAATGTATATAAATGAAAATTGAGTTTGTTCCATGGATCATCATCCATATTAATTTTTATGTACATAGTTTATAATAGGTTGGTGAAAAAGTTTCTTCCTATTTTGTTTGTATAAAATTGAGGAAATATCTCTTTAGTTGTACCAATTGTAACTGGTTGGTTTTAATATCATAATCTTTCTGTCCAAATACAATCTGGCTGTCTTCAAGGCAAGAGTGAATAGGCTTTTGTTACGATAAGACAGTGCGATTTACTATCTAGGGCTGCATCACCACTTACCAGCAGGTGGGATTGTGGTCAAAAACTGGCTTATAATTAGTAAAAAAAGAATAGGACATTACGGAAAAAAAATAAAAAGTAAAAAACACATTCCCGCCATTTTCTAATTGCTTTTCTGTCCACCGAAATGAGTGAATCGAAGAATTTCGGTACATTCTGAAGTTTTATAAAAGGGAAAAATGTGACTCAAGCCGCAAAAAAATTTATGACGTTTATTGACCTAATGCAGTATCAGTAAGAGTAGCACAAAGTTAGTTCAAGCATTTTCAGTCTGGGAATTTTGATGTCAAAGATGCAGTTTGCTCTGGCCGCCATAAAGTTGATGCCATTTTTGAAAAAGTGGAGCAAGATCAGCATATTAGTAGTTACAACATAGCCGAGGAATTGAGGATTGTCCACAAACAAAAAGTCACACTTTAAACATGGTAGAGCCATGCTGCAGCTATGTTATGGTTGTAGCACGAATGGGTTGGCTCGACCGCTGTAGGACCACACTCTCACAGAATACTAGAGTAGAATAGCAGCTTAACGCTGCTGTGTTTCATATGGTGTGTGTAGAGAATCGGAACCTTTTTTACTGGAAACGAGGCATTCCATCTTAGTCCTCACGGGTGACAATGCATCTGCATTTTGATTCATAATCGAAGATAGATGTAGATGTCTATGGGCCACAGCAACCACTTACCAACAGGTGGACTATGTGCTCATTTGTCACCCTTATCCTATAAAAAAAAAAGTTTTCACTTATATGAAAAGCTCCATGGACTGTAGCAAAACCTGGATTAACACGCAATAAGGTGATTCTGTGTGTATGGAGAGACTGGAAGATCATTGTTTATTATGGTCTTTTACTGCCGGGCAAAAAATCAATTCGGATCTCTACTGCCAACAACTAATGAAACTCAAGCAAGAAATTAAGAAAAAACGCCCGGAATTGATCAACAGAAAAGGAGTGGTCTTTCATCATAATAACGCCAGACCACGCACATCTTTGGATACTCAGTAAAAATTGAAAGAGCTTGGTTGGGAAGTGTTAAAGCATGCAGACTATATGGTGGCTGTTGTTTTTTTGAGCTATATGACTGGCCCGTTGCTACTTCAGCTTACTAATCCATTGGGCTATGTCAGTCACTCTGTTTCTACTGCAGATATCCTCATTTCTAAGTTTATCATGATGTGCCCTCTCCATAACTCATTGAGCCCGGGGTTTCTGAATTAAATTAAGTTATAAAAAATTTTTATAATATGGTTATATTAATTTTTATTGTAATATATATACTTTCTTTTCCTTTTTTTAATAAATGTTCTGCTATATCTTAAAAATTACTTAGTATTAAAGAATTTACATGCTCATGTCTTCTATGTATTTTATTGCGATATACCTGCAATTCTTAAATTTCCGAAGTTAATCACACCAGCTCTTCCTAGGTAGTAGATATTTGGTGCCACCCAACCACCGTATGGTAATTCTTGTAAATAATTTGATGCTTCATGATTTCCTCCTATAAATATAGTTAATATGGGTGCCTCTTTTTCACCACTGTAGTACCTATTGACAATATAAAATTGTAACATTATTACATGAAGTTTAACATGCTTAAATATATATATATATATATTAAAAAATAAGCTTTTTTCAATATCAAATTATTTTGTTATACTTAATACTGAATTCTTCAATATGATTCTATGCTGTGGCAGAGTAAGAAAATCTACAACCCCATATCATCCACTGGATGTTTTAGAGCCTACAGAGGGAAACGAAACATAACACAAAAAAATTGTTGCTGCCTATGCAAATATCCCTATGAGGTATCTATGACAGAGGCCTATGTTCAGAAATTAACTTTGATAGGATATAATGACGATAATATTTATTTCATTATAATAACCTAATAAATATAGGTTCTAAAATAAGAAACCCGTGGGTCTCGTGGGTGATACAGGTTTTAAAGTTATGAATCAAGTTAGTATTTAAAATTACTGAATGTAGCATATAAGACCTGAAATTTATTAATTAGTAAGGTAAGAACAAGAACTTGTAAAACAATAATTAAATTTTAATATGGATTACACAGAATAAAACTTTATGAAATAGTTTCTTAACATCTTCATATTTTATAAATATAGGTTATGTTGACAATACTTACTTATAAAATGTACAAATATTTTGATATTTTTCAGGTACAGCCATTGCTCGAAGATCATCATTGTTACGGACAGATTGAAAATCACCACAACAAATTAATAAATCTATTTTTATGCCTTCCCTTTCTTGTAAAGTTTCAATACATTCGTATATTTTTTCTAGCTCTCCGTGGGCACATCCTTCTACTGCAATCTTCATGTTAATTGAATAATTAGAAGCAAACTAGTGTAAAACGTGTGAAAATTTTTCAGTGTAAAGAAAAAATCATTCTAACGACACGAAATGAAATCTATATGATAAAAAGAAAAAGAAAGTATTTAAATGTCTAAAGTCAGTGTAATCAACAAGCAACATGACACTGACAGGTATCAACTATCAACTATCAAGGCAAGCGAGTCAGTGTAGGGATACTCGATTGCTCGATAATCATCGATGTTCGATGATCATCGATGTCAAAAATGATAACATCGATGTTTTAACATCGATGTTGCCACATGTCAAACATAGAAACATCGATGTCAATAAACCCATAATCGATTACTGGGTACTTGCGAACACTGTGAACCCGCAAAATCAATATTAACTAAATCTTGTATCTCCTCTAAAATATTGAAAATTTTGAATAAATCAGAATGCTTGAACGCATCGATAAACTAAAAATATATCTTCTTCTTCTTTTTCTTTTAAATTATGGCTTCTCTTGATGGAATTCTGCCAGTGTCATGTCAGTTAAAAATATATCATTATGGTATATCAAATTTATCTGTCAAGTGTCAACTGTAATGTTGATCGTAAATACGATCCAATATACGTTTAGAACAATGTTATTGGTTCTACCTATCTAAAATTAAAAACAAAAACTTCAATAATTCGACAAAAATATTGGACTACATAACAAATGAACTAGATCTTTGTGAACTTCTTCTAATTTTATTATACTGTTTTACACTACATTGTTTATTAATTTCTTTTATTTCATTAGTTATAAACCGTAAACAACATGACAATTTTTTATTCATCTAATTCTAACCTATTAAATAGATGTCCAAAATACATCGATAATGGCTAACATCGATGTTTTGAGTAGGATAAACATCGAACATCGATGTTGAGCTATCGATGTCAACATCTATGTTATCATCGATCGTGTTCTATAACATCAATCATCCCTAAGGCAGTGTCAAACGTGTCAAACTCAAATTGTCTGTCAAATAGTTAATGTCAATGTGTCAATGAACCGCAGTGCTACCGTACTCAAATAATCCAAACTACTACTAACTACGAAAATGTACCACGAAAATACTATATCCGTTTAATTCACCAATCTAATTAAATTACAATTAAATGCATAAAGCAAATCAATGTTCCATTAGTAACATACATATACGCCTACTTACATAAGTAGGCGCATATGTATGTTATTACTCTAAAAGGTATGCATTAGGCTTCTACTTACGAGTAATAATTATACATAAGCGAGTCAATGTAAAATTGTCCAATATCAATGTATTATTGACCTGCAGTGCGACCTATAAAGTCCACGGTTGAACATAGGCCTCCCCCATATTTTTCCACATTATTACCTCATAGGGGTTTGCAACTGTAGTTTTTTTTTATTTTTAACTGAAATTAGTAAGACGTTTCAGCCCATATCCTGTTCAAGTTTCTATCTGTCATCTCATACATCACCTACGTGACGAAATGGGGTAGTGGATTCTTACACCGCTTCTATACGGCTACCTCGCGAGAAGCCAGTTAAGCAAGCTAACTAAAATAAGTTGGTTCTTCTCAAACGGTAGCGCTGGGGATAGCACGTCCCCAGCGCTACCATTCATAAAATCTAAAATAGCTATAAATCCTTGAAACTACTAAATTAACTAGGAAAATGTACTACTGCATGTGACATGTCTATTGCTCCATTTTTTATAAAACCAGGAGCATATTACCTACTTATATACATTTTCTTTCGTATTTCTGTGTACAGAAAACATTTTATATACTGTGGTAAATATTCTTTTAGAAAACTGCCAGATGCCATAAACCGTGGTATATCTTCGAAGCTTTTATCACTTTTGTTGAATTTTTTAAATCAATGACGGCATGTACCTTCGTATATAGTGCGAAATTCGTCCATCTCTCAAGTATTTATTTTGTTTTATTTTATATTTATAACTTAATGACTGGATACAATAGGTGAATTTAAATTTATAGACATTCTATACCAGTTAATACCAAATATTTCAACAAGATTCAACTGCTTTCTAACGGTTATTAAATTCATAAAGCAAACAGTGTCGCATATGGTCTATTACTTTTCTCTATGATATGGTCCATGTGGTGACCATGGTAACGGCGGGGTAGGGAGTGTTAAGAATCTCCGGTGGAGGTTCGGTTGCTACTGGACTGACGAGAAGATCCTGGAGCTGGAAGAAGTGATAGACAAGTTGCGCTGGAATATTATAGGATTATCTGAGGTCCGAAGAGAGAAAGACATGGTAATCCTCGAATCCTTATCTTCACCGGGTGGGCGACCATCTGTCCCAAGGTGGTGTCCGATTTATCGTCCACAAGTCTCTCGTTAGCAACGTTGTAAAGATTGAGAGTGTTTTGACGAGTTGCGTACCTTATACTCAGAATCACCAAACATTATTTGCTCAAGGTCATACAAGTTTACGTACCAACCTCGGCACATCCCGATGAGGAGGTAGAGGAAATGTATGAGGATGTATCCAGAGCCATGCATTCCTCCAAAACCCACTATACGGTGTTAATGGGAGACTTCAACGCCAAACTAGGCACAAGAGAACGGTGAGCAGAACGTAGGGAATTTTGGGATAGGGCAACGGAACAAGGGGCCAGCAGCTGGCTGATTTCATGGAGAAAGAGGGACTCTTTACGATGAACTCTTTCTTCTAGAAGCGGCCCCTCAGGTTCGACAAAAAATGAGATTGACTTCATTATGACAACCAGACGACAACTGTTCAGTGACGTCTCAGTGATCGCGAGGGTGAAAACCGACAGCGATCACCGAATGGTGAGAGGCACACTGAAACTAAACGTTAAGTTGGAGAGGTCACGTCTAGTAGTCTAGTCAACGCTCCATCCCCCTAGTGCTCTAATCCAGCTGAAGGTTATTGCAAAATAATCCTGTATGCTCTGCACTTCTAAGTACCGTACATAAAACCCTCTTTTCAGTGTACCCAAACATCGACCAAATACGGTATGAATGCTGTCACTCGTATACACATATACATTTATAATAGTAAATATCATTTATTCTTTAAACGCCAACTTATGTTAAAGCTCTCTGTAATTAAGAAGCCATAAGCGTCGTACGTCGAACGTCGCGTCGTCTTATCGTACATCTATTCTACATTAATTCTGTATTATATGTATCTCAATCTATATATATATATATATAGATATATATATATATATATATATATATATATATATATATATATATATATATATATATATATCTCCGGAACCATAAGGCCTATAAAGACTTGAAATTTGGTAGGAATACGCCGAGTAGAGATCGGCTAAGAATGGATTTTACGAAATTCCACGGGCGGGTTGCGTGGCCGTTAATAAAAAAATCTAATTTTCAAACTATAGCTCTTCTATAGTGTTGCCCAAATGCAAGAACAAGACGAGACTTAGCAAGTCTTGGTCTTGGTCTTGCTCCAATACACCTGGTCTTGGTCTTGGTCTTGGTCTTGCAGCAAGAGTCTCGCAAGTCTCGCAATGATCTATTAGCCTATTACTATTTATTAAACGTTACTTTAGATCTTAGAACAACTTAACAGAGTAGGTACATATTGAGCTTGAATTAACATAGCCATAGTAAAGACCAACCATATTAATAAATATCTAAACATTTAATGAGAAATTCGAAAAATCAACTGACACCGGGTGGGGTTTGAACCCACGACCTAAGGGATCCGTGCCGATGCTCTAACCAACTGAGCTATCTACCGTGTCCCACGGCCACGGGCGTCAGTTTCTTAATAAACGTTTACATTTAATAAGCTTACACAGGGATGGAAAAAATCATGATTTTTTCCATTTTAATCAAATCATGCTGATTTTTTTAAAAAAATCATGATTTTTTTGAACTTTTTGTTTTTTTTTTGTATATTTGGAAATTCACGAGTTGGTAACACATTTTGACATAGTAGGATTAAAAGTTTATGAATACATATGTATGAGACTGATCAAAAGTAAAATAATTAATACTGTATTAATTACAGTTCTTATCTTAAGGGTGAATTTCTAAAAAAAGTTTATGAGACTGACAGACCTCATCGCCATGTCTTTGTTGATTTTCCAAAGTTTATGAGACTATTGTAGTAGAATAATAAGAATAACATAAAACAATTAAAGATTTTACCTTATTTTAAGCCAGTTTTATATCATTTTCTGCCTATTACATTAATTTATACATGTTGATTTAAATCAATGATTTTTTAATCAAAATCAAGCGATTTAAATCGTGATTTAAATCATGATTTAAATCAGTCTGATTTAAATCAGCCAACCCTGCTTACATGTGCTAAAACATGGTTAAACATACATATAAAAGCAAATTAATGGCAATAACTACACTGTATTTTAAATAACATTATCTCTCTAGAAAGAGATTGATGGACCCTCACCATATATGAAATGGAATAAAAGAGTTATACAATATACAATTTATTTTAATAAAAAATAAAATACGATGCAAATTAAATTACTTCACAACATACACAACAGCTTTGACATTACTGTTACTTTATATTTATTCTTTTGACAAAGCATTAATACAAAGTAACCATCTGGCTGACTCATCACTTAACCTATTTCTATGTTTTCTAATTATTAATGATGCTTTAGAAAATAATCTCTCAGCAGGTACTGAAGTTGCAGGTATTAAAAGAAAATCACGGGCCATCTTCGATAAAATCGGATATTTCGTCTCATGCGTCCTCCAACAGTCTAAAATGTCTTCCGAGATGACGGCTCTGGGTTTACCTAGGTACCCCTCCAACTCCTTAATAACTAAGCCTTGAAGACAAGATCCAGATCAATTTTTACACACTTCAAGTGTTTTAAAAGTGCTATGGTGTCAACCATATTTTTTTTATTCTATTATTTATTTTTTATTAAAAACACACACTTGCAAAAGTCGAGATTTGCAGTGAACTTACTGA